GCCCCCCCCCCCCCCCCTCCCGGAATCCTATTGTTAAGGATGATCATTTTTGTTATTTTAATATATTTGTCCCCTTAATTTTTGGAAATATTTACAATAGTTCTAATTTTTTTTTTAATTTTTAATAAGTTAGTGACTTATTACCCTCCTTAAAAAAAATCAATGTTTTAGTTTATAAATCGAGTACACCAAGTAAATGATGATTTCAAGTAGATTTCTCAACATAAAATGAATAATAATTTTATCACAGATAATGCGGTTTTGTATATTGAAAAAAATTACTAAAAATTTAGTTTAACATCAATTCATTATGTACAAATTTTAAGATTTGAAATACATCGTCTTTTATTTTAGTATGTGATTGAATTTTTTTTTTGGTCTGAATGTGATTGAGTTGAAATATACTAAATATAGGTTATTTTATGATTTTTTATTTATATTTTGTTTAAGTTAAAAATTTAATAGTACTTTCGATAAACTGATGAATGAGCTGAAAATTTTTTCGATTATAATTTACCTCCTCTAATGTGAAATTCTGGCTCCGACCCTAGAGTCAATGATTTGGATTTTGCTGTCTCCTAATGCTTGTCTATTATCTATATCAGAATCCCCATCAAATCTGGAATGCCATGCCAAAGTGGCTGTTAGACATGGGTTTTCGGCCCAAAACGCACACGTAGTAGGTGGAGTAACTCACTCTTATACACGGTCCAGGATTCTCTATTATCGATTAATGCAAGATTTGTTCGATATTTCAACAATCTTTCTTTTGAAAAAAGTTTATTATAAATGATCATCATTGTTCTTTAATTTGGCACAAAGAACTGAGTTCACACGGTGACTTATGTCATAGCTCTAATATTGCCTTTTAGGCATGAGTTTCCAGCCCAAACAACATACTTAATTGGTGGAGTGATCCACTCCCATATATGGCTGAGGACCTCCTCATTATCGATCGATATGGAATTCTTCCACATCTCCATAGTGGTTAACGGAAAAAATATCAACTTCTTGAAAATAGTTACATTATTGTGGCATAGTTATCTCTCTCTCTCTCTCTCTCTCTCTCTCTCTCTCTCTATATATATATATATATATATATATATATATAATAAATATTTTTAAGACTTTTTTGCCCAAATACTTAAGTTCTATATCAATTCATTTCAATCAAATTATTCTATTTAGTTTATTTAACTACTCTGTCCATATTTTGTACGTACTCTCACTATCTTTTTAAACTATTTTAAATTTAAATTTGTATTTATTTTTTTACTTTTTCACATTTAACAATATTATTTTCACAGTTAACAATGTTATTTTAATTCATTAATGACTAATTTTTCAATAATATGAGGGTTAAAAAAGGATAAAACAGAGTGATAGGGAAAAAGACAAATTAGGTGCATCACATGTGCACCTTTTGATTCCTTCTAAAAACAAACATCTCTATGTAAGTTTTAAAAAATAAGACGTCTGAGAGAAAACTTGATAGGTTTAAATCAGTCTCATATTAGTTAATAAAAAGCATGTGTGAGATTGTAACATTTGTGTTTGTTTACCATTACTCTAAAAATAGGGAAATTTGAAAATCGGTATAAAAATTTAAACTTAATTGTGTTAAATTACATTAAAGAAACTTATTTGGCGCTAAATATATTTTTTTGGAAAAAAGACTAAAAAGTCATTTATTTCTCCACTATTTTCTCTCTCTCTCTCCATTACTCATTTTTTCCTATTTTTTCTCTATCTCTCTATCTGTTACTCTCTTTATCTATCCTTTATTTTCTCTCTCTTTCTCTCATTTATAATTTTTTTTTCAAATATGTAAAAATTTGATTTGATCTCTCCCACCTATTTTCTCTCTCTCTCTCACTCTCACTCTCACTCTTTCTCCATATGCTTTCTTTCACCTTTACCTTTTCTCTCTTTGGTCTCTCTCCTTAAATCAACGTTACAACATAATTACATCAATCAGTTACACCAATAATTATTCATGTGTTCTAATAAACTAAACAGTTATATCAAATAATTACACGAAATTACAACACCATCTCAATTTGTCATTCAATTACATCATTTAGTAGCACGATATGATTACACTAATTATATACACCAAATTGGATTTATCATTACACAAAAGAGTTTACCATTACACCAAATTTAGTGTATATAATTGGTGTAACTATGTTGTGATACTAAATGGTATAACTATTTGGTTTATGTAAACAACTGAATTACAAATTGGGTTGGTGTTATAATTTTGTGTAATTGTTTGATTTTATCAAAACACATGAGTAACTATTTAATTTATTATAAAGAAATTATAAATGATTAGTGTAATTGTGTTGTTATAACGTTGATATAAAGAGAGAGGGCAACGATGAGAAAAAATAGGAGAAGAGAGAGTGATAGAGAAAATAGTGGGAAAAGAGAGATAAAAAAATCAAATCGAATATTTACATATTTGAAAAGAAAATAAATTAGAGTAGAGAGAGTAAAGGAGAGAGAGGGAGAAAGAGAGAATAACGATGTGAAAAATAGGAGGAGAAAGAGAGTAAAAAAATAATAATTATTCATAATTTAAAAGAAATGTAAGTAAATAAAAAAATTTAAATGTCATTTGAATTTTATACCTAATCACAAGATGTTTTATCAAAGTTGAACTTAATTGTGTAAAATATTTATCCATATATTTCCTCTCAAATAAATTTAAAAAAATATACCCATGCTCAAAAAACTCCTAAAAATAATGGTGTAAGGCTTGAGATTGGGCTCAGGTCCTTAAAATCGATTATACAAAAGTAACTTTTATGGTCAAGTTATATTTTTTGAGAATTAGTTATAAATTTTTGAAAGAATTATATTTTGTATCTTAAAAATTTTCAAAATTGCTATTTTTATTGTACCTTCAAAGATTAAATTTTTAATATTACACTCTAAATGTATCAAAAATGACCATTCTATTAGTTTTTTTGTCAATATCAATAAGTTAACTTTTGACAGAAAAATTAACCTAAATTAACAGAATAGTCACATTATAATACTTTTGATATATTGAGAGTATAATATAAAAAATTTAATTTTTGAAGACGCAAAGTAAGAATCTTGAAATATTCTAAGATACAAAATGTGAAAAACCCTAAATTTTTTTGAGTGTTTAAAATTGATTCTAAAAAAAATATTTTATAATACGATATCAAAAAATTATTTTTGATACTAATTTTATTTTCAGTGGTGGCAATTATTTTTTCAGTGATACGGCGATAAAGATGGTAATTTGGATGAGAATCAACCATCCACCAAAACCAATCGTTCAATTTTTTTATTTTTTATTTATTTTGTTGCATAAAGAATAATAAAGATCTTCAGCACCAGTCACCACTTGTCTCACCTAGTCATAGGTTCACCATCATCCACTCTTCTTCACTCCTCTTCACAGATTCCCACACCATTACTGGGTATATATTCCCGCAACGTAAATTCCATACAGAAAAGTGAGAAAACACCCTCAAAGCTTTAGATAAATCAACATGACTTCATAGCTTTCCTGAAATTTTTTAGAGGTAGAAAGAATCTAGAGAGAGAGAAAGATCAAATGGCCAAGGGTGGGATGTCTCTTGGAGAAGGCAAAGATGGTAATCAAGAGAACATGGCAGCTTGGCTTCTTGGTGTCAATACTCTCAAAATTCAGCCTTTCAGCCTTCCTCCTCTTGGTACTCAATCTTATTATTCTTTTCTTGTTTTGTTTTTCTGTTAAATATTTAGTGAATTAATCGATAATTTTGAGTTTTTAAACCTTTTCAGCTTACAGTTTTGTTTTTGAATTTAATCTTTAGGCCCCCATGATGTTAGAGTTAGGATGAAAGCTGTTGGTATTTGTGGAAGTGATGTTCATTATCTCAAGGTGAAACTCTCTTTTTCTATTCATTAAACCATGTATTCGTGTATGTGATATATGCTAGTCTTCAGCTATTTGTAAATTTTTTGGTGGTTATAGATCAATTATCTTGATTTGTTGTATATATGACATCTATTATATACTTATAAGTTGAGTTAATCTTCAGTTATTTGCTTAAAGTGTTTTATCATATAATTGTTTTTCATGTTAATCGGTTTGTTGTATATGAAAATTACTATTTTCTGATTGCTTGAGATAGCATCGTTCAATGATAAAAGAAAATAGTATTGATGGGGTTGCTTGAAGTGTTTTACCAGACCTTGCAATGTGCACATTTTGTTGTCAAAGAACCTATGGTAATGGGGCACGAGTGTGCTGGGGTCATAGAAGAAGTTGGGACTGAAGTGAAGACCCTGGTGCCCGGTGATCGTGTAGCACTGGAACCCGGGATCAGTTGCTGGCGATGTGATCAATGCAAAGACGGTCGATACAATCTGTGCCCCGATATGAAGTTTTTCGCCACTCCCCCAGTTCATGGTTCTCTTGCCAATCAGGTATTGAAATTCTCAGTATTAAAAGGTGATTTTAATTCATAATTTGAGTTTCACATGACTTTCTGCCGTAGAAATTATAAATATGGCTACTATGTTGTATACCTTTTTGTAATCATAGTGATCATTGATTGATAGGGACACGTTCTTACATTCTCTCCCCCTCTGTCTGTCTCTCGTGCACCAGCCTGTGTCATCTTTGCCTATCACATGTATGACATATTGCTCTATTTCAGTGATAACAAAATAACATACCATCTGGATGCTGACCTTGACAGAGTTCTTACTTAGTTTGCACATTATCGATGTATGGCTTCATATTAACTTCTATTCTGTAAGAAGTTGAGCTCCAGGAGATTCTGAGTGTCGTTGGACCCCATATCAGGACCAGTTCCATTGAAACAGTACAATCGGTTCTTTATCTGATAGGCCTTTCTATGAATTATATCTTGCGTACTTGTTTCCAGTTTGGATAGTTTAAATTTCGATGTCGACTCAAAAATCTTTTTTTTTTTGTTGGCAAATAAAGATTGGTATTTGAATTTTGAAGTCTTATTTTTTTCATCAACAGGTGGTGCACCCTTCAGATTTATGCTTTAAGCTACCTGACAATGTGAGTTTGGAAGAAGGGGCAATGTGTGAGCCCTTAAGTGTTGGTGTTCATGCCTGTCGCCGTGCTAACATTGGTCCTGAGACAAAGGTGTTGGTAATGGGAGCAGGGCCTATAGGGCTTGTTACGATGCTAGCAGCACGTGCTTTTGGGGCCCCCAGAATTGTAATTGTGGATGTGGATGACCATCGTCTATCTGTTGCAAAGGAGCTTGGTGCAGATGAGATTGTCAAAGTTTCGACTCATATTCAGGTTTTCAATTCTTTATCCAACTTCCTTTTCATATTTCAGAGCAAAATGTTATAAAATTTACATCCATCCCAAAGGCATATCCTGCTTGAAACTAGTGGAAAGTTAACATGATTTAATAAATACCGGATTTCATTCTTCCATCATGCCCATTTCTGTGTGCAAGTTACCACTTATATCATATCGTTCTTAGTACAGAAAACCTTTGTCAGCATGCCAGCAAACTATGTTTACAAAGAAACATCAGTCAAACTTGTTTAGATTTAAAGATCGAGCCATTTTTTTTTGTTCTGCTGCTGCATGTATCGTTGTTTCTGTTTCTAATCTGTGTTCTTGTACATTAAAAAAGGCATATAAAGAAGTGCTGGTGCATGAAAATTCACTTGCATCATCTACTAACTTTTCGAAATGGTTTAAATCTTTCCTCGTTATCAGTAGTTACTGATGATACAAAACTCATGTATGTTGAATTGTTACCCTTAACTTGTTCTCTCGATTCCTACATTCCTGACAAAGTGTCTGCAGGATGTAGCCAAAGAAGTGGAACAGATTCGTAAAACAATGGGGGCTGGAATCGATGTGACTTTTGATTGTGCTGGCTTTGACAAAACAATGTCAACCGCTCTGACCGCCACCAGTGCAGGTGGCAAAGTTTGCCTTGTGGGAATGGGTCACAACGAGATGACTGTCCCTCTCACTCCAGCTGCTGCTAGGTATTGGCTGAAATCCTGGTCGCGGATATTAGCTTCTCAGAATTGTGCTCACACNTTTTCATCAACAGGTGGTGCACCCTTCAGATTTATGCTTTAAGCTACCTGACAATGTGAGTTTGGAAGAAGGGGCAATGTGTGAGCCCTTAAGTGTTGGTGTTCATGCCTGTCGCCGTGCTAACATTGGTCCTGAGACAAAGGTGTTGGTAATGGGAGCAGGGCCTATAGGGCTTGTTACGATGCTAGCAGCACGTGCTTTTGGGGCCCCCAGAATTGTAATTGTGGATGTGGATGACCATCGTCTATCTGTTGCAAAGGAGCTTGGTGCAGATGAGATTGTCAAAGTTTCGACTCATATTCAGGTTTTCAATTCTTTATCCAACTTCCTTTTCATATTTCAGAGCAAAATGTTATAAAATTTACATCCATCCCAAAGGCATATCCTGCTTGAAACTAGTGGAAAGTTAACATGATTTAATAAATACCGGATTTCATTCTTCCATCATGCCCATTTCTGTGTGCAAGTTACCACTTATATCATATCGTTCTTAGTACAGAAAACCTTTGTCAGCATGCCAGCAAACTATGTTTACAAAGAAACATCAGTCAAACTTGTTTAGATTTAAAGATCGAGCCATTTTTTTTTGTTCTGCTGCTGCATGTATCGTTGTTTCTGTTTCTAATCTGTGTTCTTGTACATTAAAAAAGGCATATAAAGAAGTGCTGGTGCATGAAAATTCACTTGCATCATCTACTAACTTTTCGAAATGGTTTAAATCTTTCCTCGTTATCAGTAGTTACTGATGATACAAAACTCATGTATGTTGAATTGTTACCCTTAACTTGTTCTCTCGATTCCTACATTCCTGACAAAGTGTCTGCAGGATGTAGCCAAAGAAGTGGAACAGATTCGTAAAACAATGGGGGCTGGAATCGATGTGACTTTTGATTGTGCTGGCTTTGACAAAACAATGTCAACCGCTCTGACCGCCACCAGTGCAGGTGGCAAAGTTTGCCTTGTGGGAATGGGTCACAACGAGATGACTGTCCCTCTCACTCCAGCTGCTGCTAGGTATTGGCTGAAATCCTGGTCGCGGATATTAGCTTCTCAGAATTGTGCTCACACTAACTTATTTAATTTCGTTCTTCTTCGAAACCTTGATCATACATGTACTAATTGTCATCTGTTTCTTAATTAAATTCAGGGAGGTTGATGTAATAGGCATCTTCCGCTACAAGAACACTTGGCCCCTCTGCCTTGAGTTTCTGAGGACTGGTAAGATTGATGTGAAGCCTCTAATAACCCATAGGTTTGGATTCTCCCAGCAGGAAGTCGAAGAAGCCTTTGAAACCAGTGCTCGTGGTGGTAGTGCCATCAAGGTTATGTTTAATCTGTAGAGTCAGTCTGTTTGTGTGAGGGGAAGAGAGAGAAGCAATCTTAAGTTTATGTATCTGAATTCTCAATCACTTATCTAAGAACCTGAATACTTGATTTAGTCATTTCAATCGTTTGCTGCACTGTACCTTATTCCTATCAAACCTCGGACACCTTGGGGGTGTGTTTGATTTAAGCATTAAAAAGGATCGGATTGGACAAATCTGATCATTCCATATCTATATATCCGGTCCTTGGGCTAATTATAGTGATAATGCCTCCTTATTCAATGTTGGGTTAAGTATGAAGAAATAGTTAACTCCATATTTATCTCATCTAATATTTTGTTTGGATAGAGTATTGAACGATGATATAAATATTAAATTACTAAAAAATCTAAAAAATAAAGAATGATATTTGTATCTTAGATATTCTTGAAAATAAAAATGTGTTTTGTCCAAATATAATTCGACTGGATTATTTAAACCCGTCAAAAAAGTGAGTTTATTTAAGAGGTTGTAAGTGTTATTAAATACACTATTCATTCAGGTCGGTATTTATTTCTAAGTGAAAATATCGCACCCAAAATATATATGCAAACATGGGTAGAAGAAGAATAAAATGAGCCCAGTATTATTTTTTCCAATTTCTCTTTCCTAATACCTAAAATAAACACACCCTGAAGTAATAGAGTTCAGGCTAAAATCCGGGTACGGTGAGCCCTTCCCTTGAATCAAAGGTTGAGGCCTACACAACCACAACGGTTCTTTTTGTTTCATGAATAACAACTACAACTAACTCCAGGCATGATCTACGTTCCTTCCTTCTTCCTGGGTCTCCGAGAAAAACGACCACAGCTTACAGATTTCGGATATTGGAAGGAAAAGTTAAGGATCTCAAAACTACATTGCATAACCTGATTCTCCAAAGTTAATCAGTAGAAGGCAATGAGAATAACAGGAGTTCATTCTTGAAGAAGGATGAAACATTACATATCTTTGTATGAACCCGAAAAATAAAAGAGTAAAGCCATAGCTAAATGCATGGCATACAAACCTTCAGTGAGGAAACTCTTGGCTGATACAGATGGTTGGGCAAAGCCCTGAATACTTCTCTACAATTTATGGTACACAGTAAGGAGGCGACAACTGTTCTAATGCAACTAGGTAGCCACCACTAGGAAGTCAAAACTGGCATTCTCTCACATTCTGTTATGTTTCATAATCTTGTTTCAAGAAGAAACAATGAATAAAAACGAAAGGAAAAAAAATTACATTATTCTGAATTTAAATATTGCCACTCATCAAATTGTCGCAGGTTGGGTCAACCACTTCCAAACTCTCACTTCACCGGTGCCATCGCCAGTGAAAAATAGACCACCTGGGCCTAGCTGAATGGATCGGACCTCCTGTTTTGAAAATATCTTTCCCCTCTCAGAAAAACTGCAACAAAGTCGAAAGAAACCTCATTCATTACAAGAGGAAAGTGGAACATATAGAAGCATTTGAAGGACAAAAAGAAAAAGAATGCAGTGAGAGAGCAGAAGTCAAGAGTTTAAACTTACGACGGCAAGTCATAGGCGTGGATAGAGTTGTCATTGCAAGAGCACAGCAAGACTGGCTTGGCTTCTGAATCGTGCATCCCACAGAGAGTGAGCAAACCCTGTAGCAAGCAGATCATACAATTAAACCACTTGCTGCTTAATTCTGAAGGGAGCTGAAAATGGAAGAATTGCATTGCAATTTTTCATGACAAAAATAGCTACAAGACTTCATGGACAACAGGTATTATCAGACTGAGTCACAACTAACCAGATTTGACCAAGATAAGCTTTGCTAACTTTGGGAGATTTCAATGTACTCAATGACACGTGATCACATCAAGTTCAAGTAAGTGTCACAAAATTCCCATCCAATATGATAGGAATCTGCAACTACCCAGTACCTGGAACCGAGGATGAAGCTCCATATTCAAAAGTGAAAAACAGCACATATAACGGTGCTCCCAATCACAGCTACATATGGAAAAACTGCCCGTCATGTTGCATATTGCTCATAATGCAAATAGAAGTGCTGACAAACCCAGTCTACAAAAGAAATTCCTAACAAGCATGCTAGAGAGTAGGCCACACTAACACAGTTACACCTATACCAAATTTTATATAGGCCTGGACTGTCTTAGAGGGATAATATCCAATCAACGTGTTCTTAACATGCTTCCACCAATGAATTCGATTTAGATATTGCAACCAAAAAATATGCATTAACGATATTCAGATGACGATTCAAGCTTTCTGCTTGATCAATGCACCTGCAAGTGGCAGGCTGCTTTACTGTGGTTATTCTGTCTGAACAAAAAATGCAACTCCTCAAGACCGTATAAAGCTGCTGCTACTTCATCCCCTTTGTTACCTGCTTCAATCAATCGTATTTTAGTTTGTGAAAATGGAATCATACTTTGTTAAGGGTAAGGCTGATGCCCCTCCCCCCACCCACACCCCCCCGAAAAAAAAAAAAAAA